TATAACAATGAGGTTCTCCTTCCATCTTCTGTGCAACTCCCCTTCTCCCTCTTTTTCCCTCCCACCTCTCTTCCCTATTTAGTGGTAGTCTTCTTCTCATGCTCTTCCTCCCTATCCCATTTTGAGTCACCCCCCCTTATATCAGAGAAGACATTCGGCATTTGTTTTTTAGGGATTGACTAACTTCACTTAGCATAATCTGCTCTAATGCCATCCACTTGCCTGCAAATGCCATGATCTTGTTAACAAAGTCAGTTTTAAACTTATGGAATATTAGACACAGTGGGACAGCCAAGAGGAAGGGATGATAAGCAGTTGAATCCATAAGTCTAAAGTTCCTGTGCGATCGGAACTTGGAAATACAGAATATATCAGAATGCATTATGTTGCAAGGAACAGTTAATACCCTTAAAAGGGAAGAAAAAATATCTCAAATAACGAGGAGCCAGAGGTAGGAGGTGGGCTCTGAGGTTGGTTGATTCAGCAGTTTAATGATGCCATCAAGGACCTAGGCTCTGTCCATAGGTCTGCTCAGCCTTCTTCCTTAGAGGGAGCTTTGTCCCAAGGATGTTCTGTTCATGATCCCAAGATGGCTTTCAGACCCTATTCACATCCATGGGAGGAAAGAGAAAACCCGCCTTCCACAAAAGATATAAATCCTTTCCTTTGGACTATTTAGCTATAATGGTCACTCTTAGACCAATAATAGTCATCAGAGGAAAGCTGCTGATTGGCTTGACCTAATCATCTGGTATGGAATGGATGCAACATCTGCAGATATTACTCAGGCTTCTCATCACCTTCACCCCTCTGCATAAGGACACAGAGATATGCAGTCTTTATACCACCTGACTTTCCTCCCTTTTATTCAGTGATAGATGTGTTGCTTCAGAGGAGAAATGTTGCTGCAGAAAACCAAGCAAAACTGTAATTTCAAATGTTTAGGTTTCAAGTAAGCAAAATTTCAGGTTTGGAAACTTCCACATCAGATTTTGTGTTATGATTTGTACCAAATACAATGAATAGAGATTGATTTAGAGATTTTGTAGGACTTTTATGAGCTTATCAGGATTCACACAAGAAAGGAAAGCACTAGGGATCCAAGATGGCAGGCCAGAGGGAGGCAGCATTCTGTGTTGCTTTATGACCTGGAATTCACATAGTGAGAATACTGCTTCTCTGCAAGCAATATTCCTGCCCCCATGCGGGAATCACCAGGTAGTCCAGGGCTCCAGGCCTCAGCCTCAGAGTAGGTCTCCCAACTACTCACCCACGCAGGACTACCGGTACCAGATCAAGACCATTGGTAGCACCAGTACCTGCAAAGAACTTTCAGCCACCCACACAAGCAGAAATCACAGACGCTGCTCCCATGCAGGACATCCAGCAGCTTCACAGGAGTAGGAACTCCCACCATCACTCCTGTGTGGACTCCCATTTACCAATGTGGTACTCCCTGGTGGCCTCCATATTGGGACTTTTCAGCAGTGGAGATAGTTCCCTGCGCATAGTAGCCTGCCTGTACCCAAGAACCTCACACAGGCTCTGAAGTCAGCCAACAACCACACACTGAGCACCACAGAGCTCTTCTCTGAACTCATGGTCCAACGCCATCGCCCAGCTCCCCCCCGACCCAATCCGACACCTCACTGTTAACAGAAGGCGTCTCCATCTTGGGCCACCTTAATCACACATCTTCAGTGGAGGCAACTCCCAGTTTGGAACTCTGGCTGGTCAAGTACCCAGTTTCTAACTCCCCCCTCTCCCCAGCAACTGCTTCTTTAGCACAGTGATACCGTGGTTACCTTCACCATCCTGAGGGCGGAGATACTAGCTAACAACAGATGATCCCACCTATTGGATGAGAAGGGAAGCAGGAAAACAATCCCTGTTTCTCCAACCAAAACAATCCCTGTTTCTTTCTTCAAGATTTTTTTCCCCCCTCACCCTCTCTATTCTCCTACTCTCACATCCCCAATATATGTGAAACCGAGTACTTTGCATGAATTAGGATTATGAGGACTGGGACATCTGAATAGTATATTACAATTGTGTTGTATATTCTTTTTTTTTCATTTTCCCCACCAATTTCTACTATTTTAACATTTAAAAATTTTTTCTTA